ATGCATTGTAGGTAATCTGATTCTTGTGATTAGGGATTTGATATTGTTTTAAATCAAGACTGTCGTTAGCATAATAAAAGGAGAAAGATAAAAGCAGTGAGGTCTGGCAAGCAGCCACTGCAGAATGGAATGAAGAAAAATATCAAGGACATGGCGCATTTCTGTAAATCTGACCTCGTGCCATTTACCCATTTGCTCTCACTGAACACTTGAACAAATCAATTTTATGAGCTCCCACTATTGCATCATGGTTTTATCATTCCTTTCAATAACCCCCGTATTTCATCTGGTTTAGCTTCATTTTTTGATGCCTACGCATAAAAACTACAAAGCAGTACTTCTAGTTTTACTTTTACTTTGCTCGGTTATGGACATAACGTCATCAAGAATCTTTAACATGAATGTTCGCTGAGTTTGGAATCTGCGATTTTTTGAGGCTCGTGCTGAGTCTACCGTGTTCAGTGGGTGTCAAAAGCTACTTCACTTGACTGCATGGCATGACATGGATGAGTAATCATTTTGCATATAAAATAAAATATAAAATATAAAATAAAAACTGCTTTGACAATTTACCTGCATTTAATCGTATCACACATTTAAGCACAAAATAAAAGAGACAGGCTTACATCTATCGACTAACACAAAAACTATGCAATCTCACAAATATATTAAATAGGGCATGATGTCACACTTTTGAATAAGCTTTACTTTCCAGTGCAATTTCGCAGCACCTCGTCCTTCCTACGTGTTGCACTTATCTTTTTTCTAGGCAAGCACAAATTCAGTTTGTTTTAGGCAGATTTCTTAGAATGTAGATTAACCTCAAGCAATGTGATCTAAATTTCCAGCAGTAAGCACGTCTCACATCATGAGGTGTCTAAAACTGTTAAGTGTCTGATATTTCTCTCTCTGATGCACACACACACATACACATACACAAGGACAGGAAATTAAGGAAGCGTTCTGTTTACAGCTGCTGTGTAAAACTCAATTACACAGCCAATTGAGAATGTGGCTGTTTCTCAGATTTACTTGATGTGTTCCTGACCTAAATAAGATTGCTGTTCCAACTGAAGCCTCAACAACTGCAAACACTTACTAGTTTGACAGACAGGGAGAACAGTACCCTCACACTGACGCACAGAGGCGCACACACATACACACACACACACGCACACACATACACACACATCTGGACCTCTGTTTCTCTCATTTATACTTGCTGAGTGCTTTCCTGCGCGGTTTCCCTGTGTTACCGGTCCCGGACCCCTCAGATGAGGTGAGGTAAGATTTGGAGTCACAGGATTATGCCATCTGGACAGACATTCACACAGGCTTGCTCATGTGAACACATGCACACATACAGATATAGCCTACTCTTGTCATAAGCTACACTGACAAACACCTGGACCTGGTTACTGGTCTCAAAGAGAGAGCTGAATACTATGTGCATGCCTATGTGTGTATAAGTGGGGTGTATGGGGAATACTGGGGCAGTGCTGGAGGCTGTGTTGAGGTTCATTTGATTTTTTTCCCCCTGCTTTTTGAGCCCTTGAATAAGGGGGCCCACTCAGGCAAGTCTCGAAAATTCAAGTTGGGTCACTGCTACTACAAGTTGTAAGCCAATTCTATTAAAATATTCAATCGTCAGCTGTCATTATAATATATATATATGCTTTTCTTCACACAACTGAAATTTTCCCTCTTATTGAGAAACTAATAACTTCTTTTTAATTAATAATAATAAAAAAAATCTGACCACTGTACCACCAGCCATGTTAGCATGTGTTTGCTCACTGGTGTGAGACCAGATCAAGCCACCATTCTGCCCAGCGCAGGGCATCCAGAAATTTCTTCAGGTTTTGTTTGAGGTTAAATTGAATTGTTTGCAGCCGACCATCATGCATAGCTATGTGAGCCATCCACTAAACAGTCTTTTACTTGTCCCTTTGCATCTGGGATCTACAGTCAAGGGACGTAGAGCTGAGCTGATTTTATGGAGAACACAAAACCAACTGAGCAAAAGGATTAGACAGGTCCATTTCACTAGCGCTGCACAATCAGATCAAACAGATTCTGGTGGAACTTAAAACACTCGGTTCTTCCCCTATTCTAGAAGAAGTTCCTAAATTTGTGGACAAGGCACAGCTGGCACAACACATTAAAGGAAAAGACAGACAACTTCCTAAGTTCCATACATTGCAAAAGGGACTTGCACCAAGCTTCTTACTAGATGTATCATTCCAGGGTGGGACCTGAAGATAGTTCCTCTCTTTAGAGTCATGAGTGCAGATGGGACTGGAGAATGGCCTACTCCTTTCACTTACCACAGCTAAAAGTCTTTGGTCTTGTCCTAGTATCTTCTGGTAAAATTAGCCAACAGTAAATCCTGGTACAGGGCTGTACATGAACTCATAGAACTAGAGTTACGTGAAGTAACAACACTGTACAAATGAATATTAAAGTACAGAAAAAGAAAAAGAGGAATAAGGTGTAAATCTAGAATCCATCATGCATACCTCTGATAACAGCACATATTATTGATTGTTAAGAAAAAAGAAGTTGCGAGCTTGGCTGACCGCTGCTGAGTGTTATTTAACATGTATCCTAATTTTCTTTTCACTTTTGGAAAATATAGACCAAGCAACGCCACCGAAATCCCAATCACGTAAAGTGTAACGTAAACACCGCTAACAGAGACACGGGTAAACTATTAAAGCTCCTCCTAGCGCTTAAACTTCTCTCTCTTCCATCACGTTGTTGCTCAGGAACAGCTACGCAGTGAGATAAGCCTCAAACGCTCCACAAAAATAAGTCGATATGACGTGAATCTGACAGTAAACACCCCGAAAGAAACGACAAAAAACGCTCTGTCAAACTTCCCAAGGTGAATACAAACAATCGCGACTGAAAAAGATCTCCGACTCGCGTCTGCTTCGAGTTTACTCACCTTAGGATGCTTTCTGGCTTTCTTTTTGTCGACTGAAAGGAAAAGTTGCAGCCCGCGATACTCAGGGTAGAGACGCGAGTCACTCTGTTTCCAAGAGTAGCTTTTCTTTCTCTCGCGCTTTTCCCTCGCTCCCTTTACACTTAAACACACACACACTGGTCTCACACACGACTGTGTTTCTGCAAAGGTCCCTCAGCTGCAGGAGGGTGATTAATGGCACAAGAGAAGGAGTGCATTAGCAGGAGAAAGGTGAGTGAAGACTCGCACTGAATGGGTCCCTTAAAACCACTCCAAAGGGCTAGTTGTTTAAGGAACACCTAAACACAAATGAACTCCAGTCTAATTAAAAAGAAAAACACATCCAGGCTTTGTCGCACAAAACAGTGTTTTTGTTGTTTTGCTTTCCGGGATGTGAAATTCATAGATTTTCCCTTATGAACGTTTTAAATTTGATGGACTTTAAAACGAGTCTTATGTGAAAAGACTATCAAATAGGCCTATATGCTAAGGATTATACATCATGCTACAATAACAAGTAAACATTAGCTCAGCAATGCTGAATCAAATAAGTAAGCTATGAGCTAACTCCTTAAACTATGTTACCATGTGACATCAACTAGACTGGCTAATTTTTCTGCCTGACTCATGCCCCATCAATTGAGACAGCGTGTAAGGGTCAGTGCTGGGTTTGTTAATGTGTCTTATATACACTCAATAAAAATCCCTGAACAGTTATCTCATTTTCATTGTTTTCTACAATAACAGTAAAATTTGTTTGATTGTGCAGAGATTGGTTTGTATTAAAAAGGCTGGTTATATAGAGGACATGGGAATAATGTGTGCCCTACATACCACTGTTTACTACCTCCTTTTCACTCAACCGTATCTTTATTTCTCTGTCTGCCCATTTTAACATTTGTCAGCAGTGCAGATGTGTTAAAAATCCTCTTTTGACAGTGGCTATGACTTCTCTACAATCGTGTTAAAATAGTTTAATTTGGTTAGATAGCATTACACTATAAAAAAAAATAGCAGACATAAAGAAATATTTGTTTTGGGCATTTAAAAGCACATCATTTATTTAAAAAACCAGATCAACTTTAAGAGTTCCGACAACAGTTTTCTACTTGAGAATTTAGAGACTGAACACTTAAATCATGCCCATTAGCCCCTTACAGTAAAAACCAAGATTTATAATTATAAGAAGTGAGTGAAAGAGTGGGTTGTCATTTGTAATAGCATTGGGGAAAAAACTAAATAGGCTGGATGTATCCTGCACCAATAAGTAAGTAAATGTCCTCATGTTAAAGGTGTGTAGACAGTCAAAAAACAAGAAACTACCCTCCATCCATCCAATCCCCACACCAGTTTCTAAAATAACAACATTCTCTACTTAATGTCATCTCAAACATGTTTTCCTCTTCTAACAAAATTTAAAAAAAAAAAAGTACTTTCTAAACAGAGCTAAACAATTGAATGAAGCATAAGGAGAAGTGTATGAAACAGATTTTAAAGCAAATATATTTTCTTTCTAAATCATGGCAGAAAATAAATAAAAATGGGAACAGGATTCATGAAACTATGATAAATGTCAAGAAAGATATGTTGGTCCACATAGCAAGGAAGAAACAGGGACTTCTATATACATTCACCAGACCCTTAAATATTCACTTTAATTTTTAACTGCTTGTTAATGCAAATGTTTCATCATACATTAAGATGCTAGAAATAGTCAAGGTAACTTGCTGAAGATCAGAATGGGGATGAAAGTTGATTTAAGTGACTTGAGAGCATCTCTGAACTCGCAACATGTCAAACCTTGAAGCAGATGGGCAACATTAAGGCAGTTCTAAAGGCAAAAGGGGGTCCAACCCTGTACTAGCAAACTAGCAAGAGGAAACTAATGAAAGCTGATGAAAGTATCTATGAAAAACATTTGATCGTTTTTGGTGTTCAGGTTTGCTCAAGTGCCTTAATGTCCTAGCCAGTTTCACTCAACAAATAGAAAATGAAATCAAATTTCCTTAAATTACAACATTCAAATAACTGATTAAATCAAAGGCAGCAGCTTTAATTACAACTCAGACATTCACAGATGAACTGTATAAAGTAACTAACACAAGCATATCCTGCAGTATTTTAATGCATATACTGGGAAGTTTTTTTATAATAGTTGCTTGTAAAACTGTAATGCAAAAAACAAAATAAAACGAAGTGTAACACAGGACGTTCTACAGTTTCATCTTTAAGTCTTTATAGGTTTTAGCCAGGTTAATAAAATTGATTACAACTACACAAACACTAACAAATATCAATCAACTAACAATACAAACCTGCCAGCATCCTCGAATACTTAAAATTATCAAACATTTCTGGTGGTGTCTAAAGATAATGAGCACTGTGCAAGCTTAATAATAAAAACAGAAAGTGTGATGATCTCACCACTCAAGACAAAAATCAGAAGAACGAAGTAAATGATAAAGTCACAGTCCTATGTGTGAGGAAATAAAAATGGCATTATGGTACATAAAATGTATCAGTTGGCAGTAAAACCTTGCTATTTGGGGATGATTGACAACATAACATTTAGTTTACAAAGAGTAACTAAGATCCTTAAGCTTTATTGCTTTTTGTGCTAAGGGATAGCACCACTACAATAATGACTACTACTGTCATCATAAAAGGTGTCCCCAACCCTCCGTGAGACAACATGTGGCCAAGTGAATAGTTTAGGCTTCATATCTTCAGTGTGTGAGCATGCTTCTTGCAAAGAGGTTTGTCCTTTTTGGAGAAGAAGGTCTGGCCTTCCAGTGTGGTACAGCACACCTGTAAAAAGCCCAGCACACATGAATAATAAGAGGTTATATAACAAAAGTTAGCCAGCCTACACTAACATTCACAATGGATGTAAGTCAGTGTTTCATCTAAAATAAGCACTGCTGTTATATTATTGTGAAAAAATGACTTACGGTGAGCTTATGAGATTGCTACAAGTAAGCTGTTCTGCAAAAACCT